TTGACCGCACTGGAAATCCGGCCGCTGCTGGACCGGGACCACTAGCAGAATGATTTGGAGAGTCTGTCCTTCGCTCTGCCTCTGTCGCACTCGAGGGCGTTCCGCAAGGGCGCGAGAAAGACAGCGGCGGAACGACTGCTGGACCGCCCACGATAATCCGATCGGACCGGCGACCACCACAGTCAGATTCCGTCGCTCTCGCTCCTGCACGGGACGAAGCTCCACGAGTGCGAGAGGGATAGAGCGACGAAACCGCACTGTCTGGAATGAGCCTGGCAGCGCCACCCGCATCGCGTGCCGCCTGCCACCGCCCGCCCCGCCCCGCCCCGCCCCGCCCCGCCCCGCCCACGCGTGCTTATTGCCCGCCAGTCTCATAACGACTCGTGCCTAACCTGTATCCATTAGGAAGAAAGTGGCTATGCACACACACGCACGCGCACGCACACACACGCACTCAGACGGATTGGCGAGGGGGCCACCCGATCAATCTCCGCGTTGGCGCTTGCCGTGTTGGCCGCGCTGAATGTTTGAAAGGGTCGCGGGGCGGGAAAGGCAAGGCGGGGACGCCGGGGCCGGGAAGGCGCCTCATTCCGCGCGGCGACAGTGCCCCCTCTCTCTCTGTCTCTCTCGCACTCCCACGGCTCGCTGCACGAGTGCGACAGAGACAGAGACACGAAATTGGCTCTTCGGAACCAGGCGGCCGTATGTCGCGTGGCCGTCCGCCGATGGCAGGGACGACAAAAAAGCGATGCAGGATGCCGAACAGCACTCTGTCTCTCTCGCACCGGCACGGGACGCCCCACGAGTGCGAGAGGGACCGCGACGGAGCCACTGGCTCGTCCACCTCCTCACGGCCGGGGCCCTCCCGCGATGAATAGTGCAGCGAGGCTACCGGCTTGGCCACGCTGCAGCGGGACGGTTCCGAATAAATTGATTGGCCCCGCGGGTGCGAGAGAGACAGAGAGACGTGCGGTTCGGACGCAGCCTGCAGCACACCTCCGAGGCGCGCGTGCTCGTCCGGCTCGTCGCGCACTCGGGCACTCGGCCATGCAGATCGCGAGCGACACGAAGAGCCAGGAGGCCGGGTAGGAGGCCGGGCCGCCGCCCTTGGCGGACTCTGTTCTCTGGTCCCCGTGAACCAATAGCCCATACCGGCCGACACTCCGCTCTTACTTTCGTTGCCCTTTTTTGAGGTGAACCGTTCCGCGGTACCTCCGCGCTGACCGCGGTACATGCCGCCAGCACTGCGCTGCAGTAGCACTCGCTGCTCGGCGGGGCGGGGCGGGGCGGGCGGACCGCAGGCCAGGGCCGGGGCGCGGGCGCTAGCGGCCCACCGCAAAGTACGAAGCGCTGCGCTGTCCGTGTCCAAGACAACAGACAACACGGCCTGTTTTATTGAGACGGAAATGACGGCTCGCGCGGCGCGCGCCCAGGATTGCGCCCAACAACGGGCTTCGGCTGGCCGGCCACACGCGATGCCGCTGTGTGACGGGAGGGATTCTTTCACAAAACCTGCGAAGCGACAAAACTCGACAAACCTCGGACACACGCTGTTGCACCCCTGGGAGGTAGGCCGCCACCACCGCCAGGCAGCACGCCGGTGTAACGGGGTGCCTACCCTGACAGGCGCTTCAGTGTCCAACGCGCGCGCGCGCGCGTGTGCGTGTGTGTGCGTGCGTGTGTGTGCGTACGTGTGTGCGATGGTGAGGGTGGAACAGAATGACGCAGTTTGCTAATGAGCAACATTACTCACTCAAACAAAGAGCACAGTCGCGGCAAGCCACTGGCGAAAATAATTACCTCACAGCCCCCCCCCCTTTCCGCTCACTAACACACTCACACTCTCACACCTCTGCATACATGCATGCACCTCCACACACCAACACGTAGGCGCCGCTTAAAAATAAACACGCGCTCAGGTCTCTATCACGCTAGTGCCTCGTTACTCGCCTCGTGATGTGGGTGACTGGGGCGGAGGGAGAGAGAGAGACAGAGGCGGGCAGACACACCAAGGGAGAAAGCCAATGCGCGCCTGCAAATGGCAGGGCAGTCCCGCTGCCCGTCGTGCCGTCCACCTAGGCTAGGCGGCGGCGGCCTTGACCTTGTCCGGGTTACGTGTGTCGTGTGTCGTGTGTCCGGCGGACTGGACTGGCCCGTCCGCGGCGGCACGCTTTCCGAGGATCCGATGCGATGGACACGGGGCGCCGCCACGCCGCTACTGTGCTGGCTTCGGCTTGGCGCCGCTCTGCCTGGCTTTGCGAAGTCCTCCGCTATCCTTCCCTGTTGCGCCACGGCGGCACGGCACGCCACGGCACGGCAGGGCACGGCACGGCGTCGTCCTCGTTTTATTGCCAACTTAATTGCCATCTTTCCCCGCGGTAGTGCAACAACGCGGCAACTCGCCGCCCGGCCCGGCCCTGCCCGGCCCGGCCCCCGCCACTGCCGCACTGCCCCCAGCCGCCCCAGCCCCGCCGCGCGTTGAGATTTCCGCCCGCCTCGCTTTGGCCGGTGGCGCGCGTGCGTCCCGCGTGCGTCCCGCGTGCGTCCCGCGTGCCTCCTGCAGCCGCTTCCAGGACAGCAATGAGGTAATTTGAATATTAAGCAGGCGCATGATGCGTACCGCGGTGCGATGGTGCGATGGTGCGGCCGCCTGGCTGCGCTTCGCACCGCTTCGCACCTCCTCGTCGTCGTGGGAGTCTGCGAGTCGCGGCTCGGCGCGGAGGTGTCAAGTCGTCTGTCAGTGACCAAGGCCCCACAGACCGCAAGCAGCACAAGCGGCACAAGCAGTGCAGGCAGCAGGCAGACGGACCGGGGAGGGGAGGGGGCGGATTCCGAACATGTCATTCTCTCACTCGGGCGGTTCTCGTAGGTGCGAGAGAGACGAAGCAACGGTTTTCAGTGTGCTGGCTGCTGTGTGAAATGGGCTGACCCAACACCGATGGGACCCCCAGCCGCAGCCGTAGCGCGACCCCAGGGCGGCCTTGCAACCCCTCAAGACGGACCCCTCCGCCACCGCGACCTCCCCGCCGACCCCGCGCCGCGAGCCAGCTCGCCTCCGCGATGCTTTATGCACATCGCAGTAAATCTTGCAGAGCCTCCTCAGTCTGTCTTTGCTGTGCCGTGCGTGACCGGCCAGTGTCCACTCGGAGCCCACTCGGCGTCCACTCGGAAGCTCGCCGCCGATTTCCGCATGATGACCCGCCGGTCCCCGGGCGAGCCACTCGAGGGCTGGACGTGGGACGGTGGACTGGAATGGGAAGGCAAAGCGTCCGGGCGTGTGTCGCGTCGCGTGTCACGCCGAAGGAAGTGGCAAGGCGAGGCGAGGCGCCGCGAAGGTAGGCCGCCAGCGCCGCCACGCAGCACGCCGGCGCGGCGGGGTGCCTCTCCGGGCAGGCGCTTCAGTCCTTCCTGTGACTCGGGCGCTCAGACGTGTGTGCACGCGAGTGTGTGTAAAGGGGGGGGGGGCACGGGTACTTGACTCCGGGCGACTCTCCTTCAATGCCTTTTCGGAACTGGCCGACGCGCCAGGATGCTCGGGATGTTCGTTGAGAGCGTTGTCCGAGTGGAGCGTGGCGGAGCGCTGACCCGGTGACGCCCCGACCCATCGGCCGACCGGCCGGCCATCGCGCGTGTCGCGTCAGCAGCATTTCGTCGGAAAGAAGGGCAGCGGAAACTGGAAGGGCACTGGAAGGGGGAGGAAAGCCCCGCAGCCCCGCAGCCCGGCAGTCCCGCACACATATGAAAGTTCTTTTCGGTGACGCACAACGCACAATGCGCGGGTCGAGTCGGGTCGGTCCGGTGCCTTTCTCGCCGTCGAATCGACTGTACATCACGCACGAGGGCAGGGGGAGGGGAGGGGGCAGCATCCTGTGACGGCACTTCTGGGGAAGTCGCGGGGCGCTGGCCCTGTGACCTGGCCCTGTGACTCCGCGGCTCGGAGGGCGCGTCACGTGGTGCATCATCGGCGAGGGTCCGAATCACGCGAAAGCGATGAGCGGCGCGGCGGCTGTGGTGACGAGGGGCGATCGGGGCGATCGGGGCGCCGGAGGCGAGTGACTGACAGATGGAGTGAGTCAGGAGTCAGGAGGCGAGACACTGGCCCGCTGTCCTGACGCCTTTTCGTGCGGCCGCGCGAAAAACGGAGATAAGCAGAGCAGAAAAAAGGAAGAAAAAGAAAAGACGGCTTTCTTTTTTTTGCCTCGATTCTTTCATCTCTGTTGGGGCCGGCCGGCCGGCTCTCTTCTTCCAGTGTACTACGGGCTGCAACAGCACGGCGGCATGACCACGCCAACACACTCGCGGTGCGCCGGCGCCATCACCGCACATTTGGCGTCGTTTGGCGGTTTTTGCGCCATTTCGTCCCACGGTGTCGCATCGCAATCGCATCGTGGCCCGCGGTCCTGGTCTAGCCAGCCCGGGCTAGCCAAGCTGGACTAGCCAAGGGCAGGGCATCCCCGCGGTCAGCGAAGTCGCGAGGGCCCTGCAGTGCCGAGGCCGCGTCCCGATGCACGCATCCCATGCAGCCCTCCCACGGCGGCGCGTCGCCAGCGCGGAATCCGTCGCGTCAACGCGATCCAAGCGCCATCCATCCGCGGCCCGCTGTGGAAGACAGGAAGACACGAGGCACGCCGACGAGCGCGGCGCCGATCCGCGGCCCTGCAAAGGTTTCGGAGCGACCCACCGCCGCGTCGCGCGGAGTGGGAGGACAACTAAAAACAGTGGCGCGATGCGAGGACATGAACCTGGTCTGCCGAGCCTGCTGCCGGGCCTGATGGCGGCACGCGGCAGATGTGTCGCACCTGATGAACCCGGCAGTACAGGCAGTACACTGGTATGGCGCTTCACGGCCAAGGGCGAGGACGAGGGCGAGGACGAGGGCGGTGGCGGCAATTACGGGCACTGGGAGAAGGCGCCGGGGGACCTCGCTCTGGGGGATCTTGGCCTGCTCGCCGCACGGCGGCACGGCGGCACGACGCCGACAGGACGACCGGCAGACTCACCCTGCACGGCGAGGAGGCAGGCGGCGGCCACGGCCAGCGACGTCCAGGCGTGGACGGACCCGACGGACGGCATGGTGGGTGTCTGCTGGAGCTGGACAAGCTGGACAGGCTGGACTAGCTAGCGGTGCTGCTGGCGGCCCGGCGGAGCTGAGCGGCGAAAGTGGCTTCGACGACGGCGTCCTTGGTGCCGACGGCGTTGTCGCTGCGGCGGTGGCGGCGTGTGACTGACGCACCCCCTCGTCGCCGTCCTCGCTGTCCCTCCCGTGCCTGGCCTACGGCGGCCTACCCTTCCCTGTCCGGCCGTGCCGCGTCCGCGCGTCCCGTCTCGAGCGTCCGCGGTGGGCGAAAGCGAAGCACGGACTGCCGCGCTGCCTCGCCTGCCTCGCCTGCCGGGAACATGAACACGCTGGGTGGTGTCTATGGGGCGAGTAGAGGGAGAGGAAGAGGAGGGGAAGGCGGCGCGGAGCGTGTCGTCTGCTACTGTCCGCGGGGCGCGGGAGGGGAAGGGGGGAGGGGGGCGTCATCACTGCCCATACACGCAACCCCGCCTCTCCAGCGCGACCCAGTGCCAAATTCCAAATTTATTCCTGGCATTGCCGGCGTGGGTACGCCTCATGATGCCTCATTGGCGATTTAAATGCGATGCATTCTCGGAAAAACAAATTCCGAATGTGCGTGACGGAATGACCGCCTGCTGGTCCTCGCAATCGCTGCTCGCGCCGCGAGTTATCAGCGATTCCCGACCCGGGCAACAGGTGGGGCCCTCGGCCCTCTGGGTCCTCGCCCCCACGCCCCCACGGGACGCCGCCCAGACGGCAACGAAAGCACAGCGCCCTCCGCCGGGCCCGCGCCTCCAGTTCGCTAATTCGCTTTTTCTTCTCCAGTGTGCTGGGCTGGCGCGCCAACACCGACTTGACAGGCATGACACGGAACAGGAAGGCCGCGCGGGCCTGGCGTGCCGTCAGCAGCAGCAGCGGCGGCGGCGCATCTTCTATTCGCAGGACCAGTTTTTTCCGCGACACCGCCACCACCGCGAGCCGCGAGCACAGCGAACACGCCGCCAACAGTCCATTCAAATGCCGGAGCGCCCCTCGCGGGCCTCGTGGACCTGGAGCTGGACCTGGAGCTGGAACCATCCGCAGAGATAGAACCAGACCTGGAGCTGCTCTACGGAGCACGGCCCGCGACTCTGATGCGCTCTGCTGCACCTCGCTGAGGTTGACGCTGACCCTCGCGCGGCGGTGCTGCAGTTAGCACCTGAGCCTCATCCTTGCGGGCTTGTTGCTCGTCGTCGGACAGGGCGGCTGCGGCCTGCAGCAGAGCCACGGAGAGTCTCTCTCGCACCCTTGCGCGGGTCGCACCGTGAGTGCGAGAGAGACAGCGCGACGACAGCGCCGTTCGGAATCAGTCCCCTCTTCTGGGGACGCCATGGACAGCTGCCGGCCCCGCGCCCCGGCAGGCAGTCTGAGACGTGTATGACTGTGCACTCCGACGCCCCTTTTCCTTTCATCGGCGCTTTTTGCATTGCCCCTACACTACACTACACTACACACTGCCGCTTCGCCGTGCTTCGCCCACTTTTCCCTTTTCGCTGCAGCATTTCGTCGCCGGCCCGGCGCGGCATGTATGGCGGTTGCGAAAGAGGACCTCGCGTCTCGCGTCCCGCGTCCCGCCCCGCGTCGAGAAAGTGTCAATGGCGTCAGTTTTGAAAATGGTGCGCTCGGGAGGAGAGCGGCCTTCGTTCGGACAGGGAGGGTGCCGAGCCGAGGAACGCCTCGAAACAAGAGCAAAGCCGGTCACTCGCCACTCCAGGGCCAGTGGGGCAGGGAGGCGCCCTTCTCCCCGCCCCGCCCCGCCACCTCATTACCGGCCGATGAGCCCCCCTTTGTCCTGAGCCACGGCCCTCGGTCTGTTGACCGCCCGGCCCAAGCCCTCAACAGTGCTTCGTCCGCGCCGGGCATGCCACTTTAACAAGCGTTCACTCATCTCTCATCCGCGACAACCGCGTTACCCACGCGGCTTAGTTCTTTTCCACTTCTTCTAATCCAGCACTATATTTGTTTTTGACCGCATAATGCAAAGTCGACATGGATGGGTTGCCAGGTGTAAACGGACGGCCGAGAGGGTACTACACTGTACAGTCGTCGCCGCTCGTCGCGGTGTCCGACACTTATGGCCGCCGTTTTGACTCCCATCATCGGCTGTTTTTTCCACTGCCTTCGATCCCATGGTTTGAAACCGCTCTGTAAGGCAAACCTGAGTGGTGGGTTTGCCTCTGTGCGGGATGCCAGGAACACACTGCACGTCGCCGCGCGCGGGCCGACCCTGCAACCGCGCCGGGTTTTTTAATCCCATCATCCATCCCGTGACTTTTTAAACGCGGTGGTTTCCGCCTTGAAACCTCCCCTTCAGGATAATGCCGTTCAGAAAGTCACGTCAGGATTAGTCTCTGTGCGGGTGCCTATCAGTCCCCTTCACACACCCCCGTGGCCGGGGCCCGGGAAACCCCTATCAGACGAGACCCCCTCCATTCCACCTGAGAGCAGCAGTTGCCCCGAACTCGTTGCAGCTGGCCTTGGCCTTGCCCGCTGTGAGAAAGCAAGTGTAGCGGCCTTCCGAATGGATGGCCTGCGCAATGCCTGCCTGCAGGTGTACCCTCCACTTGACCCGGGGAGGAGCTCGCAGGGCCCGCGGGTTTTTGGCCGTCATGAGAGAGCGCCGCCCCGAACCGTTGTGTTTACGCCTTGGGCCTTGCCGATAAAAATGACGCCTTCAATGGATGGCCTGCGCAATGCCTGCCTGCAGGTGTATCATAGTTTACTTGACGTGCAGGATGCTCGCAGGGCCCGCGGGTTATTTTTGGACTCGTCATGACGAGAGCGCCGCCCGAATCTGACCAGGTGTGTTTACGCGACGGGCCGAAGTTGCCGATAAATATGACTCCTTTTTCTGGTTATTCCTAGTGGCACTGGTTTCTTTCGCGTGTCGATGGTGCCGGCCCTCCTCGGCAGGCCGCGGCGGCGTGCGCGGCACGCGTGCTCGCGCTCCGCTCCGCGCGTCACGAGGACCAGCAGCCAGCGGGCGGAGCGGGCGGAGCGGAGTGATTAAGTCGGCGAGTGTTATCGGCAGAGGCGGGGGCAACGGCTGCGGCTCAGCCTGAGCCAGTCGGCTAAGCCAGTGCCGTGGAATCCCACCTGCTCCAGTGAACCCCACCCACAGGCAGGGCGCGGGCAGGGCAGGGCTCCGGCGCGTGGATCTAGTCCGACGAGGGCGGGGCGTGGCGGGGCGCGTCCGCCTTCGTCAAGGTCGTCAGGGATGGCATTCTCCATTCCTCGGCCATTCTTCGCCACGCACCGAGTGATTGTGTAGTTACGCCTGGGGGGCGCGGCGAGGCGCGAGGCGAAGGCAGATCACACCAGCAGCCGGACCGAGCCGGACCTGCTCCAGATGATAATGACGGCGACGACGTCTTGTCGGCGTCCGCGTCACTGGCAGCAACTCATTCCGAGAGTCGCTCCGTCTCTCTCGCACCCATACGTTCCGCCCCATGAGTGCGAGAGAGACGGAGCGACGAAAACGACTCTCGGAATCAGTCTGCAGAGCGAAGCAGCCCACGAGGCACGCTCAAGCCCAGAATTTGGTTTAGCTGGTTTAGCGCGCGAGGGCGGGGAGGCTCCGTGGGGCCGCGGGGTCATGCCTGTCCACTAGTTCCCGGCCACTCTAGAAAACCCGGCGGACCGCTCTGTCTCTCTCGCACTCATCGTGCGCCCCGAATAGGTGCGAGAGAGACAGAGCGACGGGACGCTGCTCGGAACGAACCCACTGGCTCCAAGTCGCTTTGCCAGATTTAATTAATGAAGCGACCCGGCCCGCTTCTGGTGTCCCTGCTTCAGTCGGCCACGTGGGACTCGCAGAGCTAACTTCGTGGTCCGTCAGTCAATCGCACTATTCGCATTTCAAACAAAATGCCCCCGTTGTACTCCGTGCCCTGGCGACCTTTAATCCCCTTTTCAATGGCTACTGGCATGACCCTTGCTGCGCTCTCCGCTGAAGTCCCCCGACGACACGGCTCGGCCAATTTACAGAGTGCCAGTCGGGTCCAGCGCAACGGCGGAACGGTGAACGCGGGCAGAGGAAGAGCGCATGGCGCTATCGGGACGCGCCATCGCCATCGCAGTGACAGTCAGTCCAGTCCGGCCACAGTGGGGGAAACAAACCGAAATCCGGGTGCCGGGGGGAAGGGGGCGCACAGAGCTGTGTGTGTGGCGTAGCTAATTCTCCGCCCTCTTTTGTGGGACCTGAACGGACCTGAATGTAGTGTAGGTAACACACAGAGCAATCCGCCTAAAGGTAGGTGAAAAGTGCTGCATGCCCCCACCCCCTTGACGGCAAATTATGAGTACTCGCCTGGAGGAGGGGGATTAGCGTAGGAGGCTGAGGCAAAAGGGGGGAGGGGGGGGGGAAATTAACGAGGCAATTCGGAAAGCGGATACCACGCTGCCGGGGGAACCGGTTCCAACCGACTACATGGAGGACGCGTTGGACCTCGGTAGTCGGTTCGCTCGCACATTTGCGCAGCGCATCTCTGAGTGAGGGGGCTGTGGAGCTGCGGGGCTGCGGGGACTCGTCGAGGGACCCATCATCGCTGTTGTTGTGGTCAGGTCAATCGACGCCCGCGGCCAATCGGTATTCGGTGACGCGCGGCACCTGCAGACTGATTCCGAGAGTCGTTTTCAGCGCGATGAAAACGACCCTCGGAATCAGTCCTCCGTACCGACCTACCCGTGCGGGCAGCTCTCTGTGAATGGCCGCCGGTCGGGTCGAAAAGACTCAAGCACAGCGTGTTCGACCAGGCTGCCCTCAACGCCCCGAATATCGGACTGTGGTTCCGAATACGGCGTGGGCCGAGGCGCCGCCCTGAGTGCACGGCACTGCGCGGCACTGCGCGGCACTGCGAGGCACTCGGGGGTCGTTAGGAACAAACGGCACGTCGCAAATCACGGTGGAGGCCTATCGGGGCCCGCCACGGCCCGCCGGCGTGTGTCCCCCGGCGACGCCCACACCGCCACCGGTGTCTCCTGCCAAGTGCGCGGCACGCCGCAAGCCACTTAAACTGCATCATTTTGATCACGACACGTTCACCAAATTTTACCTTAATTCATTTCCATACCGACCGCGCCTAATTTTCGTGGAGCTTCCTGCCCCGGCGGCGGCGGTGGCGACGCGAACTTTATTTGCCTCCAGAGGAAGAGGAGAGGATCCTCGAACCGCCGCGACAACAACACACCACACGAGGCCGCGACCGTGATGCACACTCGCGGATCAAAACCTCCAGCATCGACCTTTATTTTTTT